TGTATTTATAATCCGAGAGTCCGAGACATTCTTCCCCAGACGCACTCGCTGCTTCCTGTCCGTCAGGAAGTCAGTGATCCACCTGCAGGTGGAATCGGGCACGTTGAGCTGGGAGAGCTTGTCCTGGAGCAGGGATGGCAGGATTGTGTTGAAGGCAGAGCTGAAGTCCACGAACAGGACCCTGGCGTAGGTCCCCGGGGAGTCCAGGTGCTGTAGGATGTGGTGGAGGGCCAGGTTAATGGCGTCGTCTACAGATCTGTTGGCTCTGTAGGCGACCTGCAGGGGGTCCAGGAGGGGGGAGGTGAGGGACTTGAGATGGGAGAGAACCAGGCGTTCAAATGACTTCATGACGACAGACGTAAGTGCTACAGGTCTGTAGTCATTGAGTCCTGTGATCCTGGACTTCTTCGGGACGGGGACAATGATGAAGGATTTGAAGCAGGCCGGGACATGGCAGGACTGCAGAGAGGAGTTGAAAATGTCCGTGAACACAGGAGTAAGCTCACTGGCGCAGTGTCTCAGAGTGGCCGGAGACACGTGGTCCGGGCCAGGAGCTTTGCGGGGGTGCAGCCTCAGGAAGAGTTGTTTAATGTCTTTAGAGGCTATTGTTAGGCTGGGGGCAGGGCAGATGGGTGGGTCGTTAGAGTAGTGGGGGGTGGGGGAGGGAGAGGTGTCAGGGGCAGCATCAAAGCGACTGAAAAATAAGTTCAGTTCATCAGCTAGCTTGTGGTCGTCAGCACAGGGGGGGGCTTTGGGTTTGTAGTTGGTGATCTCCCGTTGGCCCCTCCAGACAGAAGCAGTATTGTTGTTACCAAACTGCTCCTGTAGTCGTTCTCTGTGCCGGGACTTTGCTGCTTTCAGTTCTTTCCTGAACTTATATTTAGCTGCTTTGTAGCCGCTGCTGTCCCCCTCCCTGAAAGCAGACTCCTTTGCTTTCCTGAGCTGCCGGAGTTTAGCAGTGAACCAGGGTTTGTCGTTGTTATAGATGACCCTGGTCCTTGTTGGAATGATGCTATCCTCACAGAAGTGAATGTATGACGTCACAGTGTCCGTATATTCATCCAAACTATCTGTGGCAGCTCTGAAAAGGTCCCAGTCTGTAGATTCCATGCATGCGCGCAGCTCTTCCACAGCTTCATCAGACCACACTTTGGAGCTCCTCACTGCAGGTTTTGAGAGCTTTAGTCTCTGTCTGTAAGCAGGAACCAGATGTATCATGGAGTGATCTGAGAAGCCGAGGGCTGACTTGGGAACAGCGCGAAAAGCTCCGCGCACGGTGGTGTAACAGTGATCCAGAGTGTTCTCCTCTCTGGTCGGGCATTTGATAAACTGTCTGTATTTGGGTAATTCCTGGCTCAAGTTTCCCTTGTTAAAATCCCCCAGGATAATAATCAGAGAGTCCGGGTATAAACGTTCCATACACAGTACTTGCTCTGCGAGTGCGCGCTGAGCCTCGCGCGCGTCCGCGCATGGCGGTATGTAAACAGAGGCAAGAATGAATGAAACAATTTCACGCGGGGAGTAATATGGTTTACAATGAATGAAAAGATATTCCAGAGCAGGAGAGCAGTGCTTGGAGATCACTGTCACATCGTTACACCAGTTTGTATTGACGTAGAAACACAGCCCACCGCCTCTGCTCTTCCCTGAGAGCGCACAATGGCGATCCGCGCGGAACAGCCCAAAGCCCTGCAGCTCCAGAGCGCAGTCCGGGATCCGCTCATTTAGCCAGGTCTCAGTGAAGCAGAGGACACAGGATGTGGCGAAGTCCTTGTTTCTTCTCATGAGCAGGCTGAGTTCGTCCATCTTATTGCCCAGTGAGCGTACGTTGGAGAGAAAAATGCCGGGGAGAGCCGTGCGCGCTCCTCTCCTCCTCAGACGCACGAGCAGGCCTCCGCGCTTTCCCCTTTTACGGGCCCACACTTTTTTGGCTAGAACATGAACTAAATCAGCCGCAGATGCCAAGAAAACAGGCAGTTGGTTCATGGGAAGGGTGGGTCGGATGTTCATAAGTTCCTCACGGGTGTAGGAACAGCCAGATGCACAGTTAAAAAGTAAAAACAAAAGAAAAAGAGAGCCGCAAAGAGCCATGTCGACCGTACGAGGCGCCATCTTAGGGATATTCCCTAAGAACAACTGATCCGACCGTCTGAGGTCAGACGTGCGGTCAAAATATTATCTCACAGCCCTGACCGGGCAGAGACTAAACGGAAAAACGGTCTCACCCTGATCACCCTAGATCTGAAGATGACGTGACGACCTTTGGGAGACCAAGGCTCAACAGTTTCCCCCTTTCAGCCTCCAAACCATGAGCCTGTGTCCCAGGACAGGGCGTGAGTAAAGGGCTCCCCCTGCCTGTCTCAGAGCATCGGGACGGTCCAGAAAGGGGCCAAGGCGGACTGAGCGCCATGCCCACCAGGTCCGGATACCACCTGGCACCCGGGCTGTCCGGCACCACCACCAGAATGGCCTGCACCCCCCCCCCCCCCCCCCGCTCTTTTTTGGGACTATGAAGTATGGAGAGTAAAACCTTGTCCCTGCCTTGAGCAGGTCTACCTCCACTACCGCGCCACTCAGCACTATCCACGGTGTTCCCAGGAGCCCTGCCTGTTCCCATACGATGACAAAATGGGTCAAGGGAAGCACGTCGAGATGGGAGTAGGGAGTAAGGGAGTACGCTCAACGAGGGTCTGGATGTCCGGTCTGAACAAGGAAGAGGAGGACAGCGGCAGATCCAGAAGGCGCCGCTTACCAGCGTCCCTGAGAGGTGAGAGGCCCAACCAGAGATGGCGGCAGGCGACCTGGGCCGCACACATGGATCTACCACCGTCCACCGCTAGGCTCTGGACCATGCGGAGGAAGGTGGCCATAGTATCCTCAGCCCCCTCGATCTCCGTCCATGAGAGCTCCTCCCGACCCAGAATGAGAGTGTTGAGGGATGCAGCGAGGAGAGTCATGTTGTTCGCCAGAGCAACGACCTGTGTTGCATTGGCATAACACCTGTCCAGCATGGAGATAGTCAGCCTGTCCCGCTCGGAGGGAGCTGCCAATTCTGACCACGGAGATGAAGCTGGTAGCAGAGACAGACGCACTCCATCCTCGATGGGAGGAACGCCTGACGGCCTACAGTTGTCCTTAGGCAAGACACTTTACCCCCATTGCCTAGAATGAGTCTGGTGTGTGTGTGAATGGTTGGTTGTGGTCGGAGGGGCCGATGGCACATACTGGTTGCCTCGCTTCTGTCAGTGTGCCCCAGGGAAACTGTGGCTACAGTAGTAGTTTATCACCACTGTGTATGGAGTGAAAGAATAATAGACATGTAAAGTTTCTTTGAGTGTACAAAAAAGCTCTATATTAAACCGATGCATTATTATTATTATTATTATTATCCCACTCGCGGCTGGCATAGTGCAGCAGGTGCTCCATTTTGGGAGCGACCACCTCACGTCTGCGCTGCGGGGGGGGAGGGAGTGAGGGACTGCAGATAGTCCACCGGAGGCGAGGCGGGCTGGACCGGCATCACCATACGCATCCTGACCACAGCTGATGCGGTCAGATGTGGGAAACAATCCAGCGGATTGCACTCGCGTTGCCCTGCGTCCTGGGAGTGGGAGGACAGGGCCTCCTCATCGCAGACCTTCACCGAATCCCTTTCATCGTAGTCGGACCTGGTCCAGATCCGGAGCCTAACATCTCCGAAGAACCAGGCGAAGCAGCAGTGTGGGCGGAGGGTGGCACACCATGAGCGACGCCACCATGGGCATCACTCCAGACAGCGTTGAGTAACCCGCGGCGTCTGTCACGCTCCTCCCTGGGGAGCGTGAGACAAGCAACACAAGTGGGGCTTTCCTCAGCGGCATGACGCCAGCCCAGGCAGAAGACACAGGACTTGTGGCGGTCAGCCTGGGAGAGCGCCGCTGGGCACGAGTCGCAGATCCGCAGCCTGACACCGGAGGGTGGCAATCCTTCAAGCGCTGCGATCTTGCTTGAAGACATCCTTGCAATTGAATCGAAGCTTCTCTTAGGCAAGCTGAGAGAGAAAGGAGAGGAGCTGTGGTGCATAGCCCTATTTATGACTGATCTACGCCAGGACGTCAAGGTGATTGGAGCAGTGGATCGTTTGATCTTCTCAGGGCGGGAAGCGGTGCTTCCGAGAGATATGCAAAAGCGAAGCCTAAAGGGCTGAAGCAACATATGAAATAGGATCAGCTGTTCATCTCCACCTCAAGGTCACCAACCACACCGTGAACGACAGAGGTTAAAATTCTGGCTCGAGACAAAAATTATTTTGAGAGAGGAGTGAAAGAAGCCTTTTTTGTGAGGAAACACAAACCTTCTCTTAACAGAGGAGGTGGGTTAAGATTTGTTTTGGCATCTATGCTTACGTCCTAAAAATAACGCCCTAACTATGGATAAGGTCAGTGACATGCTAATGAGCTGGGATCGATATGTGTGTCTAACCACACCCATAGGTTATAAATCTCCAACTCGCGGCTGAGTTTTCATTCCCTTGAAAAAGTTCTTTTGATGAAGGACAAAACGTCAAGAAAACCTGCTAAGAAGTACAGATGATGGGTGAGAAAGCTTCCTTTGCTTTGACTAATTCCTGTACAAATGAGAGTTTACACAAACTTTCGATGCAAAGTCAATGGGGACGTCTGTTCAGCTGTGTACAACTTAACTCTGCCGTGTGCAAAAGCAGGGCAGTAATCCATTCTGCGTCTGAAATGTATTGAATGTGCGTCTAGTGCGCATGGATGTTGTGTTCAAGCGTCTGAACGCTCCATTAAAGAGCGACGACAGCCACTTAATGTACAGCATGACTTTGGCACTACTTTGTTGTGCAGAGGGTTGAGATGTGATCTGCGTGGAAAGCATCTCCTGTTGGTGTCATTGATGGCTAACTATGTGTGAAAAAGGATAGTCTCTGCAGAGGTGTCGAGAGAGACCAGAGAGAGAGACCAGAGAGAGAGACACTGCTGGTTTCCCATGGTTCTCACATTTCCAGGATGCGCAGGTCTGGTTTCCATAGCAGCTCAGATGGTACCGTGATCCTGTCCTTGTTACAGAAGGACGACAGATTCCATTTCAGGTGCTCGTTCTCCCAGGACTGAAACACAAGAGACTGAATCAGGTCCGTACCAGGACTGAACCAGGTCTAAACCTGGACTGAACCAAGCCTGGACCAGGACTGAACCAGGACTGAACAATGTCTGAACCATGTCTGAACCATGTCTGAACCATGTCTGAACCAGGACTGAACCAGGACTGAACCAGGACTGAACTAGGCCCAAACCAAGACCAAACCAGGATCAGTGGCTCTCGTCTGTGAGAGTGAACTCACCAATTCAATGGACGTGTCGGAGATGAACGTCTGCTCAATCTCGCGCTGAAAACAAAGTGAGAAAGCACAGAGAGGGTCAGGAGCAGCGGCTCCTTCTGGTGGGGGCGTAAAGACACCAGCAGACAGAAACCATGAAGCAACACAGCGACAGAGTCTGAATATTCAACATCGTGCAATGAGTTTGAGAACAGAGCTTGTTGGGAGAAGGGCAGGGGGATATGCAGCTAAACAGAGACCAGAGAGAGACCAAAGAGAGACCAAAGAAAGACCAGCGAGAGACCACCGAGAGACCAGCGAGAGACCAGAGTGAGACCAGAGAGAGACCAGAGAGAGACCAGAGAGACCAGACCACAGAAAAAGACCAAAGAAACCAGAAAAACCAAATAAAGATCAGAGAGACCCCATAGAAGAGATAGAAACCAGTTTCTAATTCTTTGAGGAAACACTGTTAAAACATGGAGAGCGTCTCACTGACCACCCCCAGGATGGCTCTGGGTCTGAAGTGCAGATCCACCTTCAGCGCAGACGAAGTGTTCTTCACCGGAGGACTCAGCGTCAACAGATCCTTCTTGTCATTACTGGTGAGGCCCAGGTGCTCAAGAAGCTCCTGGTATGTACAGTTCTCGTGGCACAGAACTGCCCCTAAACCATTAAGGTATACAGTAAGATTAGAGACCAGAGAGAGACCAGAATGAGACCAGAGAGAGACCAGAGTCTATAGTTACCGGACAGAAGCAGGAGCTGGAGTATGAGCAGCATCCTCAGAGTGAAGCAGAGTCTGAATTAGATAAACAAGTGAAAGATTTAAACAGGAAACAGTGAAACCCACCAGAGAGAGGCAATAAAAGAGGAGAGAAACCACAAATGGAATGTTTCATATTACAGCCATTTCCACAAAGTGCTTGAGCTTTTACCGTAATGTCTGAACTTCCAACTGTAGAAGTAAATTTACTGTTTCTCTGCTCACTGAGGCTAAGGGTCAGAATGTTTAATACCACACACAGGTGTCAGTCTCTCTCTGGCCCCTCTCTCCGGTCTCACTGTTCTCCATGGTCCCTCTCTGCAACCCCAATATAAACAATTCTAACTACCTTAAAAAGAAAAGTATGAATATATTTAACAACCCGTTTCATTACTTAGAGTGTGGTCTCTGTGGACTTACTCAGGTCTTGTTTTCTGGTTTCCCTCCGGTCTCTCTTGTCTCTGTATTGATAGTACTTGAAAAGAAACCAGTTCCTTTGTGACAATTCAGCTCTTTTTTCAATGTCACAGAAACCTAAGTCCTCCAAGCGTGCAGCAACCCTCCTCCTCCACAGCACCACCTCGTCAGCAGCTCTAGCCCTGTCAGCTCCCACAGGGTCTAAGCCTCAGATCACAGAGAGCTCTGCCGGGGTCTAAGCCGCACTGGTTTCAGAGGTTAGCACTTGAGAAGGTCCTGAGTTTGATTCTACGCCTTTCTGTGTGGAGTTCGCATTCTCTCCCTTTGTGTGGGTTTCCTCCAAGTGCTCCAGTATCCCCTAACACTAAAACATGTTCAATAAGTGAGGGTTAAATGAGTGAGTGAGACTGATGGAGACAAGAACCTTTATTTATCCCACAGTGGAGAAATGTCAGTGTTGCAGCGCACAGACAGGACAGTAGCAGGAGACACAGGAGCAAACAGATGCAGCAGTTACTGTTTCTTAGCTGGAAATACATCAATGTCAATGGATCCATCTATATACTGTTATTTACATTTAGCTACAATACTATATCCTATAATAATACTTTAAAGCAGGGGTCATCAACTTTATTTGTCAGAGGGCCAGAGTTTTACCAGACAGTCTCCTCAGGGCTGGACCCTCCAAAGAAAAAAAAGGAAATCAGATTCAGATTTCAGGGGGCCAGAAGACTCCTTTATTATTATTAAAAATGCACAAAAATGTTGCAAAACAGGAAAATGACAGAAAATAGGTAAGATAACAATAAAAAGATTCGGCCCGCAATTCGCCAGTTGATGATCGATTCTATAAATCAAGGATAGGTTATGCTATAGCTTTGTACAATGTTTTTTAGCGCGTGCTGCTAACCATTTGAACCATCTCTTATGGTTTCTGTGGACCAGTGTCCTTGAGGTATGGGGCTGGTATAAAATTGAAAAAATCTTTAAAACTGCGGAATATTTCTACTTCAGCCTCTCTGGTCTCTCTCTGGTCTCTCTCTGGTCTCTCTCTGGTCTCTCTCTGGTCTCTCTCTGGTCTCTCTCTGGTCTCTCTCTGGTCTCTCTCTGGTCTCTCTCTGGTCTCTCTCTGGTCTCTCTCTGGTCTCTCTCTGGTCTCTCTCTGGTCTCTCTCTGGTCTCTCTCTGGTCTCTCTCTGGTCTCTCTCTGGTCTCTCTCTGGTCTCTGTCTGGTCTCTCTCTGGTCTCTCTCTGGTCTCTCTCTGGTCTCTCTCTGGTCTCTCTCTGGTCTCTCTCTGGTCTCTCTCTGGTCTCTCTCTGGTCTCTCTCTGGTCTCTGTCTGGTCTCTGTCTGGTCTCTGTCTGGTCTCTGTCTGGTCTCTGTCTGGTCTCTCTCTGGGCTCTCTCTGGGCTCTCTCTGGGCTCTCTCTGGGCTCTCTCTGGGCTCTCTCTGGGCTCTCTCTGGTCTCTCTCTGGTCTCTCTCTGGTCTCTCTCTGGTCTCTCTCTGGTCTCTCTCTGGTCTCTCTCTGGTCTCTCTCTGGTGTCTCTCTGGTGTCTCTCTGGTCTCTCTCTCTGGGCTCTCTCTGGTCTCTCTCTGGTCTCTCTCTGGTCTCTCCCTGGTCTCTTTCTGGTCTCTCTCACTGGTCTCTCTCACTGGTCTCTCTCACTGGTCTCTCTCACTGGTCTCTCTCACTGGTCTCATCAGTCCACAGATAGAAGATGGAGCAGAGGAAGCAGATTGCGGCTGTCATGTAGAAGATGAAGAACACCCTGTGAATTCTACGAGCTGTAGACGACCAGGAACAAGGATCCTCTTGGATCTGCAACAGAGACCAGAGAGAGAGACCAGAGAGGGACAAGAAAGAGGCCAGAGAGACCATTATAATTTTAAATGTTGCAATTTGTCAGAAACATTATGATTTTTTTCAGACATACCTCGTTGTTTGCGTGATTCTGCAAGAGTTGAGAGAGAAGAGCAAGATCTGAATCCTGTGTCAAGAGGAACTACATCAGAGACCAGAGAGAGACCCGAGAGAGACCAGAGAGAGACCAGAGAGAGACCCGAGAGAGACCAGAGCGAGACCAGAGCGAGACCAGAGCGAGACCAGAGCGAGACCAGAGCGAGACCAGAGCGAGACCAGAGAGAGACCAGAGAGAGACCAGAGAGAGACCAGAGAGAGACCAGAGCGAGACCAGAGAGAGACCAGAGAGAGACCAGAGCGAGACCAGAGAGAGACCCGAGAGATACCAGAGAGAGACCAGAGAGAGACCAGAGAGAGACCAGAGAGAGACCAGAGCGAGACCAGAGCGAGACCAGAGAGACCAGGGAGACCAGAGAGAAAGACCAGAGAGTTTCACCTTTTCTTCAGCAAAGTCCGTAGCTCCTCGCATCTGGCTGATCAGAACTGAAAGAAACAGTTCTTCGTTAAGCAACAGTTTATTCTGAGCCCAGTGAGTCACTATTTGACTCTCCAAGGTCAGAGCTGATTGGCGGAGAGGGATTTCCTCTATTTTTCACTACCAGATACCAGAGAGAGAGTGAACAAAGTGGGACCAAAGACACATCAGAGAGGCCAGAGAGAGAGAACAGAGAGAGACCAGAGAGAGAGGCCAGAGAGAGACCAGAGAGAGACTAGAGAGAGACCAGAGAGAGACCAGAGAGAGACTAGAGAGAGACCAGAGAGAGACCAGAGAGAGAGACCAGAGAGAGACTAGAGAGAGACCAGAGAGAGACTAGAGAGAGACCAGAGAGAGACCAGAGAGAGACTAGAGAGAGACCAGAGAGAGACCAGAGAGAGAGACCAGAGAGAGACCAGAGAGAGACTAGAGAGAGACCAGAGAGAGACCAGAGAGAGACTAGAGAGAGACCAGAGAGAGACCAGAGAGAGAGACCAGAGAGAGACTAGAGTGAGACCAGAGAGAGACTAGAGAGAGACCAGAGAGAGACCAGAGAGAGACCAGAGAGAGACCAGAGAGAGACCAGAGAGAGACCAGAGAGAGACTAGAGAGAGACCAGAGAGAGACCAGAGAGAGACCAGAGAGAGAGACCAGAGAGAGACTAGAGAGAGACCAGAGTGAGGCCAGAGAGAGAGAGATAGAGAGATAGAGCGCCTTATAGACTTTTTCAGACATATTTTTCACAAGGTAAATTTACGGCTCGTTACGCCGTCATTCTGCTGAATGTCTCTGTGTGACGTGTGTCGGAATCTGAATTATTTTCACTGCCATGTAAGTAACAGGAAGTCACAGACAAATGGCTTTGGCTCTCGGTGCAAGAGAAGAGAGGTAGAGAATAGTATGTACTATGTGTGACTTGTGTGTACCATATGTAAAGTGTGTGTACTATGTGTGACTTGTGTGTACCATGTGTGACGTATGTGTGACATGTGTGTACCATGTGTGACGTGTGTGTACCATATGTGACGTGTGTGTACCATATGTGATGTGTGTGTATCATGTGTGATGTGTGTACCATATGTGACGTCTGTGTACCATGTGTGTACCATTTGTAACCTGTGCTTTTAATTGTTTGTCTGTAGTTTCTGGTAAGATCCCTGTGGTGTGTACCATGGAGTTGAGTGATGGTCCTCTTCAGGTCCTGCTCCCTTTTCTGGTCTTTTCTGATTAGAAACAGGACCAGGATGCTCTCCAGGAGACTCAGCAGCATCAGAGAGAACACTCCGATACAGAACACAGCTGTAAACAAGTGACCAGGATTCAACCCATGGTATACAAGACATGTGACTCTCTGGTCCCTCTCTCTCTCTGGTCCCGCTCTCTCTCTGGTCTCTCTCTCTCTCTGGTCCCGCTCTCTCTCTGGTCCCGCTCTCTCTCTGGTCCTGCTCTCTCTCTGGTCTCGCTCTCTCTCTGGTCTCGCTCTCTCTCTGGTCCTGCTCTCTCTCTGGTCTCGCTCTCTCTCTGGTCCCGCTCTCTCTCTGGTCCTGCTCTCTCTCTGGTCTCGCTCTCTCTCTGGTCTCGCTCTCTCTCTGGTCTCGCTCTCTCTCTGGTCTCGCTCTCTCTCTGGTCTCGCTCTCTCTCTGGTCTCGCTCTCTCTCTGGTCTCGCCCTCTCTGGTCTTTGTATCTCTGGTCTCTCTCTGGTCTCTCTCTGGTCCTCACCGATGAGGGGGATGCGATTGGAGGAGGAGGGCAGGATGTCGTTGAGCAGCAGCTGCATCACAGTCACTGCCAGGAGGATGGTGATCTTAAATCCCAGCTTCTCTCCCCCAGTGTCCGACATCAGGAACGAGGCCAAGTCCAGGATCAGGAAGAAGACCACAGGGAGCAGGAAGTTCACGATGTAGAGGACCGAGCGACGCTTCATGGTGATCTGGGACCAGAGAGGAACCAGAGAGAGGGACCAGAGAGAGAGACCAGAGAGAGAGACCAGAGAGAGAGACCAGAGAGAGAGAGAGAGAGAGACCAGACAGAAGTCAAAGACAAAAGAAGAAATTGGGGATTAGATGTTCATGGAATGTGTGCAGTACAAACACAAATATTGTTTGCAGCTCTTCTGTTTGAGGAGATTCGAGTCCAGTCTCTCTCTGGTCTCTCACAGTGTAGGTGATGGTCTCCTGGGGGTAGTTGAAGAGGGCCCCTGTGGACTTGGAGACGGTGATGTTGAGTAAGACCCACTCGTACTGAGTCCTCATCACCTGCTGAGACCACCGTGTCATCAGAGACCCGCTGTGAGACCTCAGCTGGATCTCTCTGTCTGAAAACACACCAGAGAAGGGTTAAGTCTCTCTCACTCTTGGTCTCCCTCAGTCTTGGTCTCCCTCAGTCTTGGTCTCTCTCACTCTGGTCTCTCTCACTCTGGTCTCTCTCACTCTGGTCTCTCTCACTCTGGTGTGATCTCTCTTTCAGGTCTCTCTATGAGGTCCTTGGCCTTTCTCTGGGCCCAAAGAGAGACCACAGAGAGACCATATAAAGATCATGAGGCAGAATCCAGAGCTAGAGAGAGACTGGAGAGACTAAAGAGAGACCAGAGTGAGAGAGACCATCAGCAGCGCGTCCTGGTCCTCACCGCTGAGCAGGATAGACCTGAAGGACAGGTTGCAGCTCTGAGTGTCGAAGGGGAACTTGTAGACGTGCATCCTGCAGGTGCTGTAGACCACTTGGTCCGTCTTATAGACCACGAGGCCCTGGCTGTGGACCTGCAGGTACGGACTCGGACTGGACTTGTCCTTCTCCGTCCTGCAGGAGAGACTGCTGTCAGGAGTCTGCATGCTGCGACTATGTGTTGTTTGGACCTGTGTTGAAATGATGAGTCGGCCAGGAACAACAGGGAAAGAGATCAGAGAGAGACCAGAGAGACTAGAGAGAGAGTCCAGAGAGAGACTAGAGACAAGAGAGAGAGACCAGAGAGACTAGAGAGAGAGTCCAGAGAGAGACTAGAGACTAGAGAGAGAGACCAGAGAGACTAGAGAGAGACCAGAAAGAGACCAGAGAGACCAGAGAAACTAGAGAGAGAGAGACCAGAGAGACTTGAGAGAGAGACCAGAGAGCGATCAAAGAGAGAATAGTAAGAGACTAGAAAGAGACCAGAGATAGACTAGGGAGAGGAGGCACAATAGAGAGCTGTGTGTGACCCGTTGATTTTAGGCTGTAAGTGCAGTAACGTTGAGTGTCCAGCAGGAGGAGACAGGTGTGCTCTTGAGCTTCACCCATGGTTTACTCAGACATAAACCAGTATACTATTAGAAAAGACATGTCCTGGTCTTTTTATCATAATTTATTTTCATCCCCTTTTCAGGTCTAGTAACAATGTTCAAAGTTAAACCATCCATGTTTTGTTTATATCCGAATATATCTGCGTTATTATGACTTACTTAGTTTGTAAGGAGTTTAGCTGCTAGCATAGTTAGCATTAGTGTCTTGTGGTTAGCACTGGTACAGTTAAGAACAGCACAACTTCCAATGTATTCTTTTAATGAGCAGTATATATGAGCAGTATACTTCTGCTATATATGGCAGAAGTATAATATTTGGATCTTAAAAATCAGACCTAAACCAGACTTATTATTATTTTCATCCCCTGTTCAGGTCATCTAGGTATGGAGTTGTAGAGTTTTCTTCCCATGAGCCTCATGAGAACTGTGATGGATCTGAACCTGGCGTTTCCTGGTGTTTCCTGGTCCTACAGAGTGATACTGGGAGCATTGGGACACGTACATCTCCTCTATGGTGATGTCTGGCTTCCGCAACATCTCAATGGGAACAGCCACCGCCTCGATGCCACAGAACTCCTCCTGGTCCCAGTGGATGAACTCATTCCTCCATTGCTGAAAACAAAGCAAGTCTCACATCCAGCAGAGGACCAGAGGAGTAAAGGACCAGGTGAGCTCTTACCATCACAACCCATATGTAGGAGATGAACGTCTGGTCGATCTCTCGCTGTGAAGAGGTGGTTAGAAATGTCAATGGTTTTCACTATATCCGTTGTTAGAGACCATGAAGATAGACCAGAAAGAGACTAGAGAGGGAGACCAGGGAGGGACCAGAAAGACAGACCAAAGAGGGACCAGAGAGGGACCAGAGAGAGAGACCCTGTCCCCTTCCCTTCTCTCCCTCCCCCTCTCCCCTCTGTCTCTCTCTCATACTGACCACGTCGAGGATAGCGTAGACCAAGACGTCCAGCTCGACCTCGGTGACGTGGCTGTGGTTTCTCACTGGTCGAATCAGAGTGAACAGATCTCTCTTCTGGTTCAGCTGCACATGGTTCAACACGTCATGGTACGAGCAGTTCTGCAGTGATGTCACACCTGAGAGACAAAGGACCAGAAACACACAGTACTGAACTAAAGAGATGTTCATTTCATAGTTATACCAGAAAGAGACCAGAGAGAGACCAGAGAGAGGCCAGAGAGAGACCAGAGAGAGACCAGAGAGAGGCCAGAGAGAGACCAGAGAGAGGCCAGAGAGAGACCAGAGAGAGGCCAGAGAGAGACCAGAGAGAGGCCAGAGAGAGACCAGAGAGAGACCAGAGAGAGGCCAGAGAGAGACCAGAGAGAGACCAGAGAGAGACCAGAGAGAGGCCAGAGAGAGACCAGAGAGAGGCCAGAGAGAGACCAGAGAGAGGCCAGAGAGAGACCAGAGAGAGGCCAGAGAGAGACCAGAGAGAGGCCAGAGAGAGACCAGAGAGAGGCCAGAGAGAGGCCAGAGAGAGGCCAGAGAGAGGCCAGAGAGAGACCAGAGAGAGACCAGAGAGAGACCAGAGAGAGGCCAGAGAGAGACCAGAGAGAGGCCAGAGAGAGACTAGAACGAGCCCAGAGAGAGACTAGAAAGAGACCAGAGAGAGACCAGAGAGAGACCAGAAAAAGACCAGAAGGAGACCAGAGAGAGACCAGAGAGAGACCAGAGAGAGGCCAGAGAGAGACCAGAGAGAGGCCAGAGAGAGACCAGAGAGAGGCCAGAGAGAGACCAGAGAGAGACCAGAGAGAGGCCAGAGAGAGACCAGAGAGAGACCAGAGAGAGGCCAGAGAGAGACTAGAACGAGCCCAGAGAGAGACTAGAAAGAGACCAGAGAGAGACCAGAGAGAGACCAGAAAAAGACCAGAAGGAGACCAGAGAGAGACCAGAGAGAGACCAGAGAGAGACCAGAGAGAGACCAGAGCGAGACCAGAGAGAGACCAGAGAGAGACCAGAAAAAGACCAGAGAGAGACCAGAGAGAGACCAGAGAGAGACCAGAGAGAGACTAGAGAGAGACCAGAGAGAGGCCAGAGAGAGACTAGAAAGAGACCAGAGAGAGACCAGAGAGAGACCAGAGAGAGACCAGAGAGAGGCCAGAGAGAGACTAGAAAGAGACCAGCTAGAGAGACCAGAGAGAGACCAAAGAGAGACCAGAGAGAGACCAGAGAAAGGCAAGAGAGAGACTAGAAAGAGACCAGAGAGAGACACGAGAGAACAGAGAGACAAGAGAGAGACTAGAAAAAGACCAGGGAGAGACCAGAGATTGACCAGAGAGAGAGACCAGAAAGAGACCAGAGAAAGACCAGAGAGACTAGGGAAAGACCAGAGAGAGAGAACCAAAGACAGATCAGAGGTAGACCAAACAGAGGGAGAAATAAGCGACCAGAACAACTTCAGTAAACTTGTTGCATTTTTTTCCTGATGCTTTTCTGAGAAACTCTCGACTTTCTCTAATCACGCTATTTTCCTTACCAACCATTCAAACGCAGTGATCACGATCGATGGTTGTCTAATGCAGGGATGAGAATTTCAGGGTTTTTTGAAAAGTCCCATTCTCATCCCTGCTAATGTACTGAGGATATTTGTGGTCAGGGAGAGATCTCACGGATGTTGTCGGAGCCATTTCAAACCATTATCACATTATTCACTCAAAACTGGTCCCTGTTGTGTCTGCGAGACCCTGTCAGAGGAAAGAGAGACGAGAAAACTCTAATCTCAGTTAAAAGACTTCTCTGCAGCCATTCCATTCTCTAACCCTAACCCATGAATCAGTAATGGGGACATAGAGACCAGAGAGAGAGAGACCAGAGAGACCAGAGAGAGAGACCAGAGAGAGACCAGAGGGACCAGAGAGAGACCAGAGGGACCAGAGAGGGAGGCCAGAGAGAAACCAGAGAGAAACCAGAGAGAGGGACCAGAGAGGGACCAGATTGAGAGATCAGAGAGAGACCAGAGAGGGACCAGAGAGAGGGACCAGAGAGAGGGACCAGAGAGAGGGACCAGAGAGAGACCAGAGAGAGACACCAGGGAGAGAGACCAGAGAGAGACACCAGGGAGAGACCAGAGAGAGACTAGAGCGTGAAAGAGGGGAAGATAATGAATATTTTGTAAAATGTAACTAGAAATGCAAGATGTCATGTTTAGCCAACTTTAAATATTTCATAGACAAAGTAATTCAACATTTTAAAATGAGTTAAACTTGTGAAACAATATCAATGAAAGCAACTCATACAAGTAAATCAACTACTCAAAAAAAATTGCATTTATTAAAATTTGTGAATGTTTTTGTTGTTGAGAAAATCAAGTTGCCTAAAATAAAATGAAAAAGCTATCAGTTGAAGACAAGTCCTCTTGTTGGGTCACACTTTTTGAGTGCTGAGAGAGACCAGGGAGAGACCAGAGCGAGACCAGGGAGAGACCACAGAGACCATAGAATCACCAGAGAGAGACAAGTGAGAGACCAGAGAGAAAGACCAAAGAGAGACAAGAGAGGGACCAGAGTTAAAAAACAAAATATATACAAATAAATTAAACTACAAAATTATAAATACATAAAAAATCTAATGAGAAATACAGAAATAATTGAAATCAAATAATGAAAAAATTTATTTTAACAAAAAATGCATCATGAAAAGTTTGTAGAGCACTTACTGCAGCAGAGCAGCAGAGGGAGAGCAGCCAGCCTCATGATGATCATAAAGACAGAGCTGGAGACTGACTACGGTGGCCCACGAGCTCAGAATACAGCGTCCACACGGCTGTCATAGATAGATATTAGTGGAACGACCTGTTTGTGACGGCCCTGTAGCTCCGCAGTCCGCCAGCAGGGGGAGACACAGGACTGGGTCGTAACAGATGATTGTCCCACAGAAAGTGTTTATAACGAATAAGACCACAGACACAATGATTGAATGGGATGGTCTGGTCTCTCTAGTATCTCACTCTATGGTCTCTAGCATCTCTCCCTCTCCCTCTGGTCTCTCCCTCTTGTGTCTTCAGGTCGACAAGATAAGATAAGAATTCCTTTATTCGTCCCACAGTGGGGAAATTTCGATGTTGCATTGCACATATAGGACAGTAATAAGAGCACACAGGGAGCACACACAATATATACAAATAAGTAGTAGCTATGTTTCTTAACTAACATAACTAGCTGTATATGCTGAAAATGCTCCAATACCAGTCAAAAAATATATATGTAGTAGTGCAGTTATATACTGTACAGTTAAATAGTGCAGGATAAAAAGTATATAAGTAAAGTGACATTGTTCTGTGACATCCTGAAGTTGACAACTATTACTTTGAGCGCGTGCAGCCAACACCTGCATAGCTTTCTACGCAAGCCATAACTACAACCAGGAGAAGGCACTGTGGACGAGGTTGCATGACCAGGAGAGGAGACACCAGCAACAGAGACCGAGACCAGAGGGAGGACTCGGGTAATGAATAAAGGAAAGAGAAAAAGAAAGTCCCGAGAAAATTCTCTAGACAAGTTTGCCGGAAAGTCCCTAGTCCAGTCCCAAGACGACCAGACCAAAGACAACTCAGAAGACAAACTCCAAGATTAGTCTGAAGAGTGAATTAAAGTCCCAACCAGACACCCAAAAACCAGACCATAAACCAGATCACAGACCGTTGTGAAACCATGTGTGGAAAAGGACTTTTCTTTGGAACATCCAGAAAACCATCTCTTGTTTTGAGTCCATTTCATTGAACATGTCGTATATTCTAGAAATAACTGTTGAAACAAACACAAGATTACAATCAGAGCTGTCTCTTTCTGGCCTTTCTCTTTTTGATTGGCTCCTTCTCCCTCGGCAGATACACCACACAATGATAGATTGTCCAAAAACAAGTAAGTCATTTATTTATATATTTCACCAACCTAAGACAGAAGCCTCCAACCGTCACCGTCCTCTCATCGTTGTCTTTGGAGCGCTCTCTGCCGGCTCCAGTGCTACACAAAGCCAGTTTATTTGTATAGCACAGTTCAAATACAAGGAAACTGTGTTTGAACATAACAGACATGAGAATCATAGATAATCACAGTGCATTAAAGAGAATAAAGATATAATCCTTCAGATGTAATAACATTCATGATTGTGTTAAAACTAAGAAAACTTTTTCATTCTGTGTTGCTCCCAAACTGGTCTGATGGTTTGGACTTGAAGAGCACCTCTACAAGTCCAAACCAGAGGGAGACCTGGCCTGTCCATTTACAGCTGTGTGGAATTCTTTGTGTTGGCCTGGTTGGGTCTCTTAGTGGTCTCTCTTTTGGCCTGGTTGGGTCTCTTAGTGGTCTCTCTTTTGGCCTGGTCGGATCTCTTGGTGGTCGGTCTTTTGGCCTGGTTGGGTCTCTTAGTGGTCTCTCTTTTGGCCTGTGTCGGATCTCTTGGTGGTCTTTGTTTTGGCCTGGTCGGGTCTCTTGGTGGTCTTTGTTTTGGCCTGGTCGGGTCTCTTGGTGGTCTTTGTTTTGGCCTGGTCGGGTCTCTTGGTGGTCTTTGTTTTGGCCTGGTCGGGTCTCTTGGTGGTCTTTGTTTTGGCCTGGTCGAGTCTCTTGGTGGTCTTTGTTTTGGCCTGGTCGGGTCTCTTGGTGGTCTTTGCTTTGGCCTGGTTGGGTCTCTTGATGGTCTCTGGTTTGGCCTGTGTCGTCTCTGGTTCTCGGCCCTCTCCCTGGTACAGGTGGATGATCCCCTTGTCGTGCAGCGTCTTCCACAGCGCCATCTCCTGGTTGTAATTATGGTTCGCATAGAAGACCACGTGGGTCTTGGCTCCGCGCTCAAAGTAGTAGTTTGAGAACTTCTTGTGGTCTTTAGTGATGAAACCGTAGGCGTCGACCTGAAACACAGTTTTGTGAATGTTTTACACCAGTGTCATGCAGCCAACTTCAGCTCCAACAATACATATAAGTGAAGCCTTTTGTGTCAAGCCTCTCTGGTGTGTCTCTCTCTCTCTGGTTTCTCTTGTCCTTCCTCCCACTTTCCTTGTCTGTCTGTGTGTCCTGATCCCATACCAGTAATGCTGCTTTTCCAAAGTAACGGTACGGTACGGCACGGCGCGGTTATTTTGCATTTCCTCTAGGGTTGGGATTGGGATCAAGGTACTTTTTTCGTACCACCTCGACAGTAGTTCTGTCCGGGTCAAAGCGATACCATGACGTGACGTCAGCCGACTGCCTTACACTGATTGGTCAACGAGTCTCGTCACTCGAAGCGAAGTCTGACCCTTTGGTAAAAACTCAACCGCCATCTTTAAAAACCGGCTGCTCTGAAGCCTCGTGCACCAGACGCACATTCTCTAGTTTTCAGACGCAGGGGACTTCACACCAGAAGTCCTGGCGAGCGCCGGAAGTAGCAGGCGGACTTTGATGCTAACAGAGTTAAGCTAGCAGCTCTTTGTGTAAAGTTCATCTCCAATAATCAGAATCATTTTTATTGCCACGTAAGTAACAGGAAGTCACAAATTGCTTTGAATCAGTGCAACGGTCAGAAAGAGAGGTAAGGGTAGAGAAGGCATTGTAAAAAATAAAAAATAGCACTTCTAAGGAATACATTTAAAATAGAGTTACAATTACTATATATAATATACAAGTGCACATGGTGCACACAATGTAAGGTGACAGCAGTACAGTGAAGTAAAGTGACGTATGATGGGCAGTAAAGTGACTTTATAAAGGGCGGGGGGACAGGTTAAGAAGTGTTCAAGAGTCCAACAGCAGAGGGGAAGAAACTGTTCTTGTGGCGGGAGGTTCTAGTCCTGATGGACTGCAGCCTTCTGCCTGAGGGGAGTGGTTGGAATAGTCCATGTGCAGGGTGAGAGGGGTCGGCTGTGATACGACCAGCCCGGCCTCGAGCTCGGGCGACGTACAGGTCCTGCAGCGATGGAAGGCTGCGGCCGATCACTTCCTCTGCAGAGCGCACAATGCGCTGTAGTCTCTGTTTGTCCCTGACTGTGGCTCCAGCGAACCACACGGTGATGGAGGAGGTGAGGATGGACTCGATGATGGCCGTGTAGAACTGCACCAACATCTGTGCAGGCAGCTTGGCTTTCCTGAGCTGCCGCAGGAAGTACATCCTCTGCTGGGCCTTCTTGATGAGGGAGCTGATGGTCGGCTCCCACTTGAGGTCCTGGGTGATAAGTAAGCTTTATTTATATACCGCCTTTCACAGACCAGAGTCACAAAGCGGTTTACAATTGTTATTTTTTTGGGCACTTGTCTCTCACTCCACACAGAGATGGGAGTGGGGTCGCCGAACAGGAGGCGCATCCCAGACCTATTGTACGTATTTTTAGTGGCAGGGGAAACCGGAGTACCCGGAGAAAACCTACGCAAACACGGGGAGAACATGCAAACTCCACTCAGAAAGGCCCTGGTCCGGCCGGGATTCAAACCCAGGACCTTCTTGCTGAGGTGGTGCCCAGGAAACGGAAGGACTCCACAGAGGTGATGGGGGAGTCCATCACGGAGGGTGGGGGCGTGGGGACAGTGCTCTTCCTGAAGTCCACAATCATCTCCACTGTCTTCTGGGCGTTCAGCTCCAGGTTGTTACCACAGCACCAGGACACCAGCCGGTCCACCTCCCTCCTGTAGGCGGACTCATCGTTGTTGGAGATGAGTCCAATGAGGGTGGTGTCGTCCGCGAACTTGATCAGCTTCACGGAGTCGTGGCTGGAGGTGCAGTGGTTGGTGTACAGGGAGAAGAGCAGGGGAGAAAGAACACAGCCCTGTGGGGCTCCTGTATTTATAATCCGAGAGTCCGAGACATTCTTCCCCAGACGCACTCGCTGCTTCCTGTCCGTCAGGAAGTCAGTGATCCACCTGCAGGTGGAATCGGGAATCCTCGCAGAAGTGAATGTATGACGTGTCCGTGTATTCATCCAAACTATCTCTGGCAGCTCTGAAAATGTCCCAATCCGTAGATTCCATGCATGCATCCTGCAATAATGCAGCTTTGCAGCGTCTCTGTGTTCAGAGACCTTTCACAGACTTTATATAACAGTAGTATGTGTTCACAGAGGTGTGCCATACAAATATTTTATTATTAAACGGTACTTCCGCATCGGCGAACACGCTCGAAGCAGTTGCATAAAGTCAGGGGAGCATGAAAACTTATATCTTCACAAGCACTGTGTCCCTCATTGTCAACCCTGGTTTAGTCCTGGCTTAGTCCTGGTGTAGCTCCTGTTTTGGCTGTTAACAGCATGTTCAGTCTGCTCGCTCAGACCACTAATGTCCCTGTGACCACTTTGCGGCTCTTATTGGTCGCTGCACGAACGTCCGAGGGAACGTTCAGCAATATTTATCTCCTGTGGGCGTCGATTTTCCGCTCCTGCTCCTCCCCTTCGACTTTGCAGCGCAGTCCGTGCGTCTCTACTGAGCAGCCCGTGCGTGCATCCTGAGACGCTTGTGCGTTTTGACGCTCGAACACGCGTCACCATTGACTTTGCATTGAAAGCTGACGCAACGCATGATCTGGTCTGAACGCGGCTTAAAAGTTTGATTGTCTGTTGTACACAGTGAGCTAGCTACATTTAGCGATCAATAGCAAGCTAAGCTAAAACGTCCTTCCACTGTGCTGTATTTTGTTCTTTCACGTGTTTCTGTTTTGTGCCTGTACTTAAGTTGTCGAGTGTATAATTATTTGTTTTAGAACCTCTTCCCACAAGTGAGGAGATTACAAATGAACAATGAAAGACCACTCGTCCCCTGGTTTCAAGAGACATACGTACTTTGGACTTTGTAAATTGTTGGTTTACTTTTGTTTTTAATAAATGTGTGATTGTATCAAGACATTTTCATTCATTTGTCTGTACACGTGCAGAAAAGGGGTTCAAAAGTTTTCTAACCATATAACCATATACTTTTACTTCATACTTCATTACATACATTATATTTGTCAGTAAATCCGTATAACTGTGGTAAATTTATGAACAAGGATGGAGACATATTGGCTAAATACAAAAAGGTTTTATTTTTGATCAAAACACAAGGGCAAAGTAAATGTTTACGCACATAATTTTTATCATATTTTACTTTTTTACTTCTCACTCCTTTTTTCGAGTTGTTATTTAAAATAAATGTATATTGTAAATCAAAGTTACTGGATGTATTGAACTTGGATGTATGACAAAAAGTGACGAATCAGAACAATGTTACTAGTTACGCGCCGTGCGTAATTGACGTGGTCTGACAACCACGTACTAATTTAAATGGAAAAGCATCCACACCCGCGCCGTGCCGTGACTATGGAAAAGTGGCATAAGTGTCCTGGTTTCACCTGGTTCTACCTGGTCCCACACCAGTAATGGAGCAGACTGGAACTGTGTCTCACTTTGTCGCACAGTTGCAACGCCAGGAAGACCGTGAAGGCTCCGTTTGTGGGTCTGACGATGGCCCAGTGATTGGACTGCAGCGAGGGGGACCTCAGGAACCTGGAGCGACACATGGTTCAGGACCAGAAACATGTTGTAGAATCACACACAGAAAAAAAGAGACAAAGACCTGTTCCTGACGAGCCGCAGGAAGTCCATGTGTAGGACGTAGAAGCGTGTCTCGTTGAACTGGTCCGAGTACTGGATCCAGGGCCTGAAACCAGACCAGGACTGGACTCTCTCTCTGTACCATCTTCCTCTCCCTTTCTCTCAGCGTGTACTCTCCCCCTCTCTCAATGTGTGTACTCTCTCACCGTCGGCCTTTGTACGGTCCGGTCTCCACTCGCTGGTGTCGGTAGAGTCCGGTGAGCCATTCAAAGTCCCTCATGCCCTCAGGGATCAGCACGTACTTTATCCCCTGGACACAACATCACACACAGACCTGCACTTGTTTTTGGCCCCATCCATGCTCTTCTTTTGATTTCAAATGTTCTCTCTCTTTCTCTCTCTTTCTCTCTCGGAAACCTAGTGAAACTTTGAACACTGACACCTAGTGGACAAATGTTATGACTGCAGCTTCTGAGGAGAAACACCAAAGCAGTTGTTCTACCATCAATAAAACTCAAACGTTTGTGTTGTGGTTTCAGACGTTTCTTCCTCTCACATAACAATGGCGAGAACCATCCTCCTGCTGCAGAACATCACATAATAAATAATAACAGGGATATTGTTGTTAATCTGTTTTTCACAAACACCTCAGTCACATTAAATACAACACTCAACATTCTTTATACTGAGCCTCCTCTGACGTCAAAGCAACGAGGCGTCAAAACGCTCTGAGCCAATGAAATAACTAAATACTTTTTTGCCCCACAGTGTTAACCAACATGGATGATGAGGTGAGGGGGGTCTCCTGGTCCTGGGGGTTACCTGGTCGTGTGGAGCTCCTGTGTAGTTGTATTTCTTGAGCCTGTATTCTGAGGTTGTGATAGAGTGAGCCGTGTGCACATAGACGTCTGTGCGAGCCCCAACATCCTCCTCGAAACCAGAAATCACTGCTCCATTCACTCTGAGGAGAAACCAGAGAAAGACCAGAGGGAGACCAGAGAGAGACCAGAGAGAGTGGCCAAAAAAAGGCATCTGATTGGTCAATCCCTACTGAGCTCGAGAAGTTCACTTTTACATGGCAGTCAAAATGAGAGCGGAGCCAAACTTCACCATGAGCATTTCCCTATAAGGCTTCAGTCAGCTAGCAGGCTAGCATTGTCCTTCTGTATACAGTCTATGGTTTCATCAAAAACATGCACTACAAGTAAAAAGAACGTGTGCGCGCGTGCGTGTGTGTCTGTCTGTGTGTGTGTGTCTGTGTGTGTGTACCTGAACACATAGTCGTGTCTGTCTATCTCTAGTCCCTTCTTGGACCTCCAGAGCACTCCTCCTGATCCCACCACTGCACAGCTGATGCAGTCTCTGCCTGGTTTAGGAGGCAGCAGGGAGGAGGAGGGTTTCTGCACAAGTGACAGGGCAGACATCACATCTGACAGAGGAGACAAGAGCACAAGACTCAGAGAGGAACCAAGAGAGCCTCTTTTCTACCCTAAGAATGGAAAAGGTTGGTCCAGGTCTATTCCTGTTCACAGTCCTGGTGCGATCATGGTCCAGTCCCGGTCCAGTCCCGGTCCAGTCCCGGTGCAGACCTTGCCGCCTGTAGTCCATGAATCCAAAGGGGTTGTTGAAGTGAGAGAGTGTGTTCCAGTCCCTGTGGCTGATGCTGCCGTTGAACACGAACAGACGAATGTTTGGGACAAACTTAGACCTCAGCTCCGAGTCCGAGCGGATCCTGCCCCAGAGACTGTTGCCACACTCCTGCAGAGCAAGACCAGGTGAGACTGCTGTCCCACTGCTACAGAGCAAGACCAGGTGGTCTCTCTCTCTCTGGTCTCTCTCGTCTCACCTGTGTGGTCTTGTGGATCTCGGAGTCTGTCTTGTAAACATCATCAAAGTCCCACTCAGGCAGCTTTTTGAAGTCTTTGCGATGGAGGACGGGAATGGGTGTGAGACCAGGGGTGAGACCTGGCGGGTCTGTGGGGGAAGGAGATCCCAAGAATTTTGAACTGCCAACAAGACACAGGCATGTTAAACACACAAAGACACACACACACACAATAATATGGTCATGCATCAGGCTGTGGGGCTGCCTTTCCTCAGCAGGGACAGGGAAGAGTGTAAGTGAAGATAAATAGTTTTGTGGAATAAAAGCTGAGCAGAGGCTGAGAGACCAGAGAGAGACCGGAGATTCTCTGGTTAAGATGACTTAAAATGGATCCCTCTGGACAAACCAGTTTGGGAGTCACATTTGACTTTGACCAATGTGTGTTCCATCTCTATATTTACACATTATTGACCACAGAGAGACCACAGCGAGACCGGAGAAAGACCAGAGAGAGCTCTGACAGAGACCAGAGAGAGACTAGAGACCAGAGGGAGACCAGACATGAGGGGAAAGTTACGTGCCCCAGCTTTCGATTTATGAATAGTATAAAAGTGATGTCACCTCATACAGCTGGTTTTTGTCCAAAAGAAGAAGAGGTTCAAGAATCCAAAAAGAAGCAGAAGCAGGAGAGAGACCGTCTTCCACGCCATGACCCTGAGTGACTGAGAGAAACGAAGAGCTCAAGGAGGCAAAGGGTGAGGGGGGGGCTACTGTAATGTTGCCGTCCAAATACAGGTGTAAATGAAGAGTGTTCTGCTCCTGTTCTCACATGTGCCTAAGGTAAAGACGGTAAACGAGCCATGTTCTACCCTTTGCTTCAGAAAGTTGTCCTAGTGGAAAATATAATGGAATGAGTCTCTGGTCTCTCTCTGGTCTGTCTCTGGTCTCTCTCTCTGGTATCTCTCTGGTCTGTGTGGAACGTCGGTGTGCACTGTACTGCATGGTGATTGGCTCTGGGTTGTGGATGCAATCATAATCAGGTGCGTGTTCCGTGCGCGTACATGCGTCTCGGCCTGGGTGTGTGACCTGAGCCGCTCTTATTCTGAAACATTTTAATTTGAAACTACTTCCGGCGCAACCAGCGTTTCCGCCTGACTGCTGCGCTTCATTGTCATGTATCACGCACGGACCCGTCTGCCTCGAACTCTGAGCAACTTTGAGCAAACTTTCTGGAGATTCTGCAGCTTTTGCCCCGATGCCCATCCCGAAAAGGACAGATTGGTGAGTGTTTCGTAGGGATGGGTTTATGATGCCACAAGTTAGTGAGTTAGTTATTTCAAAACATGCACAACACAATGAAAAAATATAAATGATCAAATAAAAAACATGTCACAAGTTTTGAAAAGGGGGTTGGGTGAAGCAGACGCGTATACATTTGCAACCCCCTCTCACGCATACAGCAAATACAAATTACACTTACATTGTACAGTTACAGCATTACTTCAAATTCTCCCTCACACAGACACTGGCCCAAACACTCCCTGACCACACACCTCTGTCCAGGCTCAGGGCATCACTCTCTGTCCTGAGTCCTCCATAATATATTTCTTCAACTTTTTAGATAGTTTTAATTCTTCTTTTAATCCATTCCAAATGTCAGCGCCTCGGACCGAGATACACACAGATTTTAATGTTGTCCCAAATTTAGGTGCATAGAATAGTTTGTTTCCTCTTAATCTGTAAATATGATGAGCATCTCTGTCGCTGAAAACCATAGACTGTATATAATAAACTGAAAACACTTAAATTGGACGGTAGAGTTTTCAGATGCCCTGAACATTATCTGAGCTGTTTTAAGGACGATCAAGTCCTGCAGTTTCAGTTGTTGGTTTAAAACAGGATTAGAAGGAAGTCTGTAGTGGACGTTGGACACAATCATTATAGCCTTTTGTAAGATAATCAGAGGCTGTACGTGAGATTTGTAGCAATTCCCCCACACTTCCACACGATAGTTTAATATGACATTATAAATGAATGACACAATAACATAAGAGCATTGGTGTTGATTACGTGACTTGATCTCTTCATTATTCCCACACACTTAGCAACTTTTGTCCTCAAGGAACTTATGTGAGATTTCCAAGTCAGATCTTCATCCATTATTACTCCCAAAAATAAATTTTGTTGAACTGTGTCAATCGGTGTGTCATCAATTATAATTCTAACTGGTATTTTACTTTTACATTTACTTAAAAGCATAATTTTTGGTCTTTTTTTAGGTTAGTCAATTTGTTATTATTTAATCATATTTTTTTATCCGTTCAACTCTGTTACAAGGGATAGTTGTGCAAAATACAGAAATTATCTATTGAATAATATTCAGAGTAAACGTTTGAAGTAATATTTAGTGTGTTAATTCAGTCATATGATTTTTTTATTTTTATTGAGAACCATAGTTTTTGAGGAGTCTTTGCTCCAAGGCAGTTTCTCCTCTTGGACACTAGTTCCCTGGTCTTAGAAAACACTAGTTAGATAGAGGGACATCAGAAAAATTCTTGAACAGGCCCGCAGCATGTTGACACAGTTCGCTTCATTATAAACACAATTTGGCGCAGCACATCCAAACGACACAGTTCCTGTATTGGTCACGTGTTTTTATGCGTATCAGTGCGATACACTCACAGATACGATGTTTCACACTTGAGTACTCGGCACAGCGCCCGGCCAGTATTGGGCCCGAACCCCCCCCCAGCAGGGGGGGTTCACTTCCTCAACATTATCCTCCTTAGGCCGCTGCAAAGCCTGAGGAGCGGCTGCAGAGAAGCTCTGCTGTGATTGGTCCGTGTTTGTGTTTTGGACCGAAGCACGGAGCGGCTGCAGGAGCATGGACGAGGCACTTTGGAGCAGAGAGCTTCGCGCTTCGAAGGAACCGAAGGAAAAGCAGTTTGGGCTCGTGGCTCAGAGCCTGATATACAGGGAGACTGTGGACTAGAGTTTTGTTGCATATCCAACTTATATAACTTATAAACTGTGCAGTCGTTACTTTTGCTTAGGTCCAGCGCAATGGCAACCGTAACATGCGCCGCGCGAGTGTACACTAGGCTTAGCGGTTTCACCTGGAACACAGTCTCCATGTGAACGGAACATCTAACACTGCCGCAGCGTCACCGTCTAAATGGGGCCTTACCTTGGCTATTTTCATTCTATTTGGAAAGACACCAGTGTGAAATGACAAGTTACAGATGTGCGGTAACGGCTCAATAATTCCCTCAATCAGGTATTTTAACAAGAGTAATGTCGATGTCCTTATCAGTATATTTTTTGTTTTGACAATGTCAAGAATTTCTTTTTCCTCCTCTTGTTTAAGAAACATTGTGTGGGGATTTTTTCCTATAAACACATCCATTTTTTTACCAGCTCCCCCTGGATCAGGTATTCTATTTGCCAGGTCAGGCCCAACACGGACAAAACAATTATTTTATCCGCCACATCACACGTGTTACCCATTATATTTTCTTTATCCATAAAGTATTCAGGATTCTCACTTTGCTTCAAGACACTTTTTATAATACGGTTTAATGTATCCAACATTCCTTTGATATTGTTTTTGTTACCCATTTTTTTCCTGAAATAATCTTTTTTGCTCATTCTTATAATGATAAGTTGACACATTCTATCTTTTATATCTATTTTCAGGCTCAGTGGTTCTTTGTCTTATGAGCTCTGTACAAAGTATTATTTTGCAGGCATTTTGTAACCCTTTTGTTATCCTTGAACAGTTGATGTATTTTAGTTTTTTTGTGTATTGTTTGGACAGTTTTTATTATCCAATCGTTTTGATACATTATGTAATGGAGCAGAGTCCATTACTCGGTGTTCATAGGTGTGGGAATTAGACAGACGTCTATCTGTTATCAGTACTACTGTGTTATTTCATATCTGATAATTCTGCCTTTCAAGTCACTTTACCTGTTGATATTATTTCTGATGTTTATTCTGCTCATATTCATATTCTCATATTCTCCGCTGCTAATGTATAATATAGACATCTGTAAATACTCCGAACCAATTATAGCCCAGAGTTTATCTTATCTTATTTTATTTTATCTTAAATTTATTGTCTATTATCTTAAATAATAGACTTTGATGTGTGCGTCTGAGTGCTCTTATTTCCTCTCTCTGCTGTAATGTGCGCAATGATGACACTGAAATTTCTCCACTATGAGACTAATAAAGGTTTATCTTATCTTATCTTATATTTATTAAAAATGGATTTATGCAAAGGTACAGACCTGTAAAGGAAAGGGGCGTGAGTGCAGGAAATTAAGTAAATAAGTAAAGTACAACATGTAAATATACTGACCTTTTGCTCTCTTGTTTGTCTGCCCTCTTTAAGGTGCTTTCAGACCGCCGACGCTGGAACGCTGACGCCTCACGCACATTCTCTAATTTTCAAACTCAGGGGTCTTCAGACCAGAAGTCCTGGGCTGCGGTGGCGCCCGCCAGATGTGGCAGAAGTAGCGAGCGGACTTTGATGCTATTGAAGTTAAGCTAGCGGCTTTTTGTGTAAAGTTTTTCCCAATTCTGTGCCAGTAATTCACTCTTGAGTGTGTTTACCGACTTCTCTGTCCATAATTGCCTATATTTAATTTTTTATTTATGATCATAGACAATGAAAACTGGCAGATGATCACTGATGTCATTAATCAGTATAGCACTGGTTTTGTTTTCAGTGTCATTTCTGTATGTGTTGTCTATCAGAGTGGCCCATTTTGATGTGCAGTTACAACCTTATATACATTACATTTTGAGCGCATAAGACGTGTCTGTGTTTGTCATTCACAAATCTCAGACTCCGAGCCGATGAGAGTGAACACCTACAGTAACTATTCCAAATACCAAATATTGGTTACACGTGCTTTGATGACCTGGATCTTGCCGTTGTTGGAGAACTGTATTACATTGTGTTTAAACGTGGTTTTGATAAGTTGTTCTTGAAGCTATTTGGATATATTGTATTTTTGTATACTGTGTGTGGCGGCAGTTTGGACAGAACAGCGGTTATCATTTCAGGCACCAAAACTAATCCTAGTCAATTCTTTCCTTTTATGTAGCTTACCTAAAAGTTGCTTGGCTCTGCACTCATGGAGGAGGAGATGCAGCAGCTCAGGGAGCATAAGGCGGACAACAAGCGACTTCTTTGCACCACTTGGAGGGGGAGCTATAAACCAACCTCTACATAGGTTGGTGGCCTCCTCCCGCGGACGGTGAGTGTGTGCCTTTCACCGGCAGGTCCAAAACTATAGTTTAGTTTTCAATTACGGTGTTTAAATTTGTGCCTTTTCTTCAGGCTCTACTCTACGTTCTGTCCAAAAGGAGCCGCTGTTTCGTTACAATACAATTTATTCTTGTATAGGCCTAAATCACAACAGTAATCATCGCAGAGGACTTAATCACTTAATCAACGGCGCCGTAAAGATGGCGCCGTGGCAAGAGCTCTGGTGGGTGTCGTCTGGTGCAGACTGGGGTAGTCTTGCACAGTTTTTCCTATGTGGTTTTACTGCAAATGGCAAATAAATGAATCTGAATCTGAATCAAACCATTGAAATCACCAACACAGCTTGGGGATTTCAATGGTTTGTCCAGCTTTGTCCACCTCTGTCTCACCTACAGAGCATCCGGAAAGTGTTCACAGCGCTTCACTTTTTCCACATTTTATGTTACAGCCTTATTCCAAAATTCCATTTCATTTCATTTAAATCCCTTTATTTTCCATTTCTGGGTCAGGGGGGTGGCAATCAGAACTGCCACCCAATTCACACAGCACCAGTCCCTTGCTGATCTTCCTGCAGGTGGTGGGTCCACGTAGGGCTGGGCGATATGGCAAAAAAAAAAAATCTCCGATTTTTTCACACCAAATCCGACTTTCGATTTTAATCGATTTATTTTTTTCTATTTAAAAACAAACTACAACTGACAAAGAAATAGATTTTCCTTTATGCAGTTTAATCTAAATCCCCATGGAGCATAAGTGTAACAGGAATTAAGCCTTAAAACATGCTTGTAAACGAGATGGCTCTGCCATTGTAAACAGTGAAAATGTAGCTTAACAGTTTTATAATAACTTCACTTACAATGACACTATGCACCTTCAAAATAACTTAAATCACACAAACAAGGCCCATCGCAAATATATCAATCCTATTAAACACATGCATTATTTACATGAAATATCACATTTTTAAAACTGATTACTCAAAATAGAAATGTTGTAACAGACAGTCTTTTCCAAAAGCCTCCTCGGGTTTTCATGCTTGTTCTTTCAACTGTGCCTTAGGGTTGGGCGATATGGGCCTCAGCATGTATCACGATGTTTGTTGGTATGTATCACGATATGACGATATGATAATTTTAACAGAGCCTCATATAAAAGCTATAAAAACTTAGCACTGATAATTTTAAACACACTTGCCTCAAAGTGCATTTACTGATTTATTGGCAGCAAAATGTGTAATACAGCTATTGTATATAAAACGTATTAACAAAACTGAATTGTAGAGAATTCTGTAATTTGTAAAATTGTTTGTCCTTTGTATAGCTGAAAAATAATTATTTGCAGGCAACATGTAAAAAAGTGAACATTTGTAATTTGTAAAATATATAAAAATGGCAGAGTTTGTCCTTTGTAGGGCATATAAAAAGTCGATAGTAGCATTAGTTCCCAAACTACTCCCATATGTTTGAGGTAGCTCCGCGTTTTGGCACAATGTCTTCTACAATCTGCATGTCTTCACCATGGTCTTCACCGCCGCCCTCAGCCATGTTTGCTCTCTGTTGTTGTTGTCCCTGCACGCCGCTCTGCTACACGTGCCGTGCAGATGCATCATCAAAGTGCGCCGCACACAAATGTATCTTCCGCTCGCTGTTTTCAGTGTTAAATGATCGTTTTCACCGGTATAAGGCATTTTCTTATCATTTTAATTTACTTATACCGGTATACCGGTACAACAAAAAATATCGCCCAACCCTACTGTGCCTGAGTAACTGTGCTGTAGTACAACGCTCGGTCCAGCTGGTGGCGCTAATACTAACTTCAGTGACTCCCGCATTGTGCGAGCTTCCTGTTTACATTCTGATGCTGTAGCTAACAGCTACTGTAGCAGCTACTGTAGCTAACAGACAGCGGGGAACACGTTGTTTGTATCAGAGCAATGAGAGCAATGTGTGAGACTGTCCTCCCCAAAGTGCAGGGCCTCAGTGGGACAAACGATGTGTGTGCGGCGCCACGGACACGGGAGTGGCGCTTTGAGATAACGAATGTGTGAGACGTGTCCCCAGCCTAGGTCCACGGAAGATGGCCTGTCTCCTTCCGACACAGATGCAAGCCTTGGGTCTTTTCAGCGGGGACCTTCAGGACCTTGGGGGGTTTAATGTGGCCTTGGCCCAGGGACAACACGACAGCAGGACATCAGTGGGAGCAGTATTGATATTCCAAAAATTGATTCAATGTTTTTTTTTTCCCTCACAATTCCTAACAACACAACACGCCTTAAGATGACGACATGGAAAAAAGTTTTGAGATTCGTGACCAAATATTATTAAAAATAAAAAAAAAGTAAGTTACAATTAGTACTCACAGCCTTTAACTTAATGACTTTGTTGATAGGCCCCTTTGGCAGCAACTAAGCCTCAAGTCTTTTTGACTATGAGCCACAAGCTTGGCCACCCCTGTCTTTGGGCGTTTTCCCATTCCTCTTTGGCAAGCACCTCTCAAAGCTTCCATCAAAGTTGGACGGTGTCGTTGTCCGGCTGAACGATGAACCTACGTCTACGCCCCAGTCTCTGAGGTCAAGAGCGCTCTGGCGCAGGGTTTCATCAGATGTCTTTGTGCATTGCTGCATTCATCTTCCCTCTAACTTACTAGTCTCACCAATCCTGCCGCTGAAAAACATCCCCACTGCATGATAGCTACCACCACCATGCGTCACCGTAGGGGATGGTATTTCCCTCGGTGATGAGCAGAAGGCAGGTTTCCTCCAAACATGCGCCTGGCATTCACGCCAAAGACTTCAATCTTGTCTCATCAACCAGAGAATTTTTTACTCATGGTCTGAGAGTCTTTCAGGAGCCTTTTGGCCAACTTTATATCTAAGGAGCGGCTTCCCGTCTGGCCCTCTACCACACAGGCCCTGATTTTGGAATCTGCAGAGATGGTTGTCCTTCGGAAGGTTCTCCCTTTTCCCACAGAGGAACGCTGAGCTCTGACAAAGTAGCATCTGGTTTCTTAGTCACCATACCTACTAACCCCTTCTCCACCCAATCACTCATTTAGAGGGCCGGCCAGCCTAGGAAGAGTCCTGGGGGTTCCAAGTTCATCCATTTTCGGATGATGGAGTCCACTGTGCCTTTTGGACCTTCAAAAGCAGCAGAAAATGTCTTCGTACCCTTCCCCCAAACTTGTGTCTCGAGACAAATCTTGTTTCGGGGGCTTCTACAAGAACAATTCCTTACTCATGCTTGGTTTTGGGCTCTGACATGCCCTTGTCAACCGGGACCTTATATATACAGGTGATGTTTTCCAAATCAAGTCAAATCAACTGAATGTACCACAGTGGACTCTAATGAAGCAGAGAAGCATCTCAAGATTATCTGTGGAAACTGGATGCACCTGAGCTCCATTTTGATCTTCATGGCAACGGCAGTCAATACTTATGACATGTGATTTCTTCATTTTTCCTTTTTTTTTAATACATTGGCAAAAATCTCCAAAAAAAATTGTTTTAAAACATTGTCCATTATGGGTTTAATGGTAGAAATTTAACGGGGAAATAAGAATAAGAGGCTGTAACAGAACAAAAGTTGAAAAAACTTGAAGCGCTGTGATACTTTCCGGATGCACTGTGTATCGCCATATCAATCAGAATCAACTGAGCACGCACAGCATATCGTGGTGGCGTCCGGCCCCGAACAGGCGGCTGCTGTTTTTAATGGGCAAACGTCCCGCGCACATTCACACTCACTACCAACCTTTCTTTATGTTTCATTTATTGTTTCTCGCTGATTGAATTGATCTGATTTTGGTTTTATTGTGCAGCAGGCTATTTCTATTTTTATTTGCGTTATTTGCAGACTTGCTGTTTTTATTTGTGTTCGCAATGGTTTTTGGCCATATAATTTATTGATTGTGTCTCCAACCAATTATAACACTTTTAACACATTTTCTCTCATGAAGCGGTACTCTTTTTTTGTTATGTCATAAAACTTATTTTTTAAATTACAGTCTCAAACTCCTATGTCCAACAACTTGTGCGGCCTTTTTTATAAATTATGTAGTTGGCCCTAGACAACCTGGTGTTGTTGGAATTAGTTAAACATCCGTTCCATCAAACCCTCATTTACATCTGCCCGTCTGGTCCCTGTAACTCTTTTCTGGGCTCCTTCTGGTCTCTCTCATCTGATCCCGACCCTCTTACTCTCTGGTCTCTCCACAGTGTAGGGTGAAAGGTCCTCCTGGGGGTAGTTGAAGAGGGGGCCTCCTTGACTTGGAACGGTGATGTTGAGGAGACCCACTCGTAACTGAGTCATCATCAACCTGCTGAGACCACCCGGTCATCAGAGACCCACTGTGAGACCTCAGCTGATCTGCTCTGCGAAAACACACCAGATCTCTTTCTTTTCTCCTTGTGGTCTCGGTATCTGGTGTCCTCGCTGTCTCTGGTTTGGTCTTTCATTTTCTGGTTTTTGGGAGAGACCATAACAACAAGGTAATTTACGGATTACGTATATATAATTAGAAATAAAGTTATATAATATAAAATATAGTATATAAGTATAATCATTTTATCTTTTTATATATAATATGTATATCTTGTAAGAATTAAACTACATAATAATAATACACAAAAATCTAACGAAAAACATACAGAAAATGTATTTTATCATAAAATGCTTTCAAGTTATACAGCACTTACGGCAGCAGAGGGAGAGCTGGTCCCCCTCTCTCTGTCTCTCAATCATCCTTGTCGCCCTCTCTCTCTGCTCAAGTCTTTGATTCAGTGTGGGACCAAATTGGAGCTCCGAAAATCTACTGGACTAATTAAACATTTTAGCATTTACTTTGGACTAGAGCGAGAGAAAATGTCCGAAACAAGCGCTACTCCAACCTTTGACCAGATCCTGCTCCACCCAGAGACTACTACTACATCTCTGCTGCTGCGACCTGAAGGGCTGTTTATTACTATTGTTATTTTAGAAGACAATCTTATTTTGCTGCTTCAGGACACCTATTTCTCCTGTGGATCAATAAAGTTTCTACTATCTTCAGATCTCTTTCTGGTCACTCTCTCTTTGATTGCTCCATGATAAACGGCCCCAAAACAAGTAGTCATATTATTTAGATTTTTTTAACAACCCTAAGACAGAGAGCGTACAACCGGCACCATCCTCTCATCGTTGTCTTTGAGCCTCTCTGGCGACCTCCGGTGCTACACAAAGACAAGTTTTTGGTTGGGGTGGGGCGACAGACCAGCCTTTGAGCCATAGGGTCCGTGGTTCGAGGCCCGACTGTTCACCATTGACTCCCCTTCTGCTGCCGTTGTGTCCCTTAGGCAAGACCCCTTTGCCTTGTGTGTCGTGTGTGGTGTGGTGATTAGGAGGGCCAATGGCACATACAGGTTGCCTCTTTCGGTCAGTGTGTGTGCCCCAGGCAGCTGTGGCACATATAGTTTAGTCACCACCATGTTTTGATGAAAGAATAATGAAAAACATGTAAAGCGTCTCTTTAGTGTCCAAAAAAGCGCTATTATAAAACCGATTGCATTTTTAATTAGTTTATTGTATAGCACATTTCAATAAAAGGAAACTGTGTTTGAACATAACAGACATAGTATGAGAATCAGAGATAATCACAGTGCATTAAAGAGAGTAAAGATATAATCCTTCAGATGTAAAACATTCATGAGTGTGTTAAAACTAAAAACGTTTTCATTCTGTGTTGGCCCCAAACTGGTCCTGATGGTTTGGACTTGAAGAGCACCACTACAAGTCCAAACCTAGGAGACCTGACCCGGTCCATTCACAAGCTTTGGATTCTTTGTTTTGCCTGATGGTCTCTGGTGGTCCTTTTTTTGGCCTGGTCGAGTCTCTGGTGGTCTTTGTTTTTTGCCTGGTCGGTCTCCTTGGTGCTTTGTTTTGCCTGGTCCGGGTCCTCTTGTGGTCGTTGCTTTGGCCTAGGTTGGGTCTCTTGATGGTCTCTGGCTTTGCCTGTGTCGTCTCTGGTTCTCGGCCCTCACCCTGGACAGGTGGAGATCCCCTGTCTGCAGCGACTTCCCAGCGCCATCTCCTGTTGTAATTTGGTTCGCATAGACGACCACGTGGGTCGTTGGCTCCCCGCTCAAAGTATAGTTTAGAACTTCTGGTGGTCTCAAGTGATGAAACCGTAGCGTCGACCGAAACAGTTTTTGAAATGTTTATACACCCAGTGTCCCATGCTGCCAACTTCAGCTCCAACAATACATATAATGAAGCCTCTTGTGTCAAGCCTCTCTGGTGTCTCTGCGCTCTCTGGTTTCTCTCTGTCTCTCTCTGCTATCTCTCTCTCGGCTCTCTTGTCTCACGCTGTTGTCTCTCGGGTGCGCTCTCTCTCTGCCTTTCTCTCTCCGTTTTTTCTCTTTCTGGTCTCTCTTGTCCCATACTCCCACTCTCCTTGGCAATCTGTCTGTCCTGGTTTCCACCTGGTCCATCACCAGTAAAGGACAGACGAAACGGTGTCTCACTTTGTCGCAACAGCTGCAGCGCGAGGAAGACGTGAAGGCTCCGTTTGTGGGTCTGACGTTGGCCAGTGATTGGCCTGCAGCGTGGGGACCTCAGAACATGGAGCGACACATGGTAAGACCAAGAAACATGTTGTAAATCACACACAAATAAAAGAACAAAGACCTGTTCCCTGACGACCGCAGAAGTCCATGTGTAGACGTAAGAAGCGTGTCTCCGTGAACTGGTTCGAGTACTGGATCCAGGGCCTTGAAACCAGACCAGACTGGACTTACGGCCAGACGGACTCTCTCTCTCTTACTATCGTCCTCTCACTGTATCTCTCAGCGTGTACTCTCCCACTCTCTCAATGTTGTGTAACTCTCTCACCGTACCGCCCTTGTGTATGGTCCCTCCTCCACATCGCTGGTGGCGGTATAGTCCGTGAGCCATTCAAAGTCCTCATGCCTCAGGATCAGCACGTACGTTATCCCTGGACACAAATACACACACAGACCTGCACTTGTTTTTTGTTTGGCTCCATCCATGCTCTTCCTCATTTCAAATGTGGTCTCCCTCCTCTCTCTCGTGTTCTCTCTGTGTTGTGTCAAACCATGAAATTTTTGAAGCATTGTGGATCAAACAGGCAGTTGTTACTAAGTACACGTGCACCTTCACATGAGCCACTTAGTTGCACAAGACACTTTATAGCACACACACTTAAAGCATATAAAAAATACATTTCACCATAGTTGTTTTATAAAATATATGTATTAAACAGGTCTTTGCTTTTTACCACATTTTATCCAGAGGTTGGCTGGTATGATGATTGGGCGGCAGTTGGTCCCTGTAGGAAAACTGTAGACAAGTATTTTAACCAATCCCAAAATATATGTGCAAGGTGCATTATCTATTAAAGAATGTTTTAAGTGTTTATTGTGTGTATTTTAATATTATTTAGTGAAGGTGGTAAAATGTGTGGTGGTACTTGGTTGGCACGAGAGCATCGTACGGAATCCGACGAAACCGGAAGTAACAAGATCCTACATTCAATTATTTTTTAGACTAATAAGTCCTTTAGTGGTGACTGGTTTAGTTTTAGGTGTCTGAGTAAGATGGTTAAAGGTGAGGGTGAAAGGGGTGGGTGATGTTATTGGGAATAGGCTGGTTAAGTATAGGCATGAATAGGTAAGTTTTAGGCCGACATGGTCAGTTGGTAGAGCATTGGCCTTTGGCCTGAGTCGTGGGTTTCAAGTAAGACCTACTTCACACTCCCTCTGAGGACTGCTGTCGTTGGTCCTTGGGCAAACACTTAACCATACTTTGCCCAAAGCGCCCAACTGAAAGATCATCAGCTCCTGTGGACTCACCACCGGCGGAGATCATGAGGGCGGGTGCTCTGTGGCCTGGTGCAGCTCTGACTGCCACCACCCCCGACCCAGAAATGGATAAGGGGAAGAAAATGGATGGATGGATAGGTAGTTTGTTATATTTACTTCCGCTTTCCGTATATGATCTATGCTGACCGTGTGTACTTACCTTGTTTGGGTCCAGTAGCAAAAGGCCCACCTAGAAAAACAGTTCCTCTTCTTATTTCCGGGCCACAGACTAGACATTATGGAAATTGTAGGGATCTGAGCGGGAATTTCATTAGATTAGGGGTTTAACATTACTGTGGTGTTGGTTTTAGGGTGTGTATAAATGGTATGTGGCTTTAAATGCTTTATGGGTTTGGGTTTTGTAAAGCTAAGTTTATTTTTACACACCTGCTTTATACCTTGGTTTTTACCCAGCAATCGGCACCAGATAATAGGTCATGGGAAACACAGTCAGGCTCTGCCTGCGGGAGAAGAAGCACTCCATTTGCCAATAGCACTTTATTGGGTGTTGCACCTTTTTTGTGGGCTTTTTTAATTGAAAAGCTAGAAAAAAAAGTATTTAAAATTAAAGCCGCAAACGGACGTCAAAAAACGGCCCTCGCCCACCGCGCAACTAGCTGCACACCAGAGCGATTACCCCGCTCCGCGCCAACTGCCTGCACCACGCCGCCGCCCCGCGCAACGCCGCATTCGGCTTATTGAAGTGGCGCCGCCGCCAATGATTTTGGCCCGTAGCCATAAAAGAATCTTGTTAATGATGTTCTGGTCCCCAAAGCAGAGAGGAGACAGAGCGAATTATAAGAGTGATTAATTTAGCAAAACTATTAAACTTAAAGCAGGCGGTTGAGACAGGGAGCTGGGCCTGGGCTGGGTCAGGAAAAGGAGGACCTGAAACACAAGGAACATTAAAAAAAAACCATAAGACAAA